CTATCAAGTATATTTGCATTTATTTTATCTACATGTCAACGATTGATCAATTTGAATATTTGTCAATTGTTTTATGATCGGAAGAGTCCGATTTGTATTTATAAGTTTCCATCAACAAGTTGCACATCTTCGACTTTAACTAAATTAAAAGTTAGTGTCGCAACTTTTGATGATTGTCTTTATCTTCTTGATGAACGTCTCAAACACTTATCAGCATTGAATATTCACGTGAAAAAAATATCATTGAGTTTCTTAGATAAAAATAAGGTAAATATAATTTCAATTCTTGTATTTTGAAGAGAAACAAATTCTTAATTATATTTTCATTCTAGAAAAAACTTCCCGAATTGAAATGCTTCTCATTGACTTCAACGGAGGCGACAACTTATTATGACGATCAAATTATTCCATTACTTCGTCGAATGATAAATCTTAAATAATTGACATTATTCTTTTTAGTATTAAAAAGTTACTCGACTTATATTGATGGTATTTAATTACATGATCAAATTCTTATTTATATGCCACAATTGAACAAATTTTCATTCAGTATAAACACAACTGTTGTTAACGGAGACATTACAATTGATCTTCCTTCGAACGAAGATATTCAATGTAGCTTCATTGGGAAAGGATATGGACAAGTTGGTTCATGTGTCCATAATAGACAAGAGGACAATGTAGGCACGTCGCATGTCTATTCACTTCCATATCAATTTCAATATTTTCTTCGTCTTAACAACTCATTTCAAGGTGATATGTTTGATACGGTCCAATGCCTAACAATGACTGATGGACGTCCTTTTGAACATAATTTATTCAAACTTATCTCTCAATGTTTTCCTCTTTTGAAAGAGTTAAATGTTGTTAATCATCAACCACAGAAAACTAAGCAACATTCATCTATATTGATTATATTTCCTCATCTTATTCTTCTCAACCCGGTTAAAGCACATGTGGATTATGTTGAACAACTTCTTTGCGATAAAAATACTCATCTGCCTGCTTTGTTAGATCTATGCATCGAATACAAATCACTCGTAATGATAACAAACAATTTTACCAATAATGCAATATGTCGCCATTGTGCTAAAATAAAAAAACTTCATGCAAATTCGTTGTTATGGCCAGAAATTTTTCATAAATATTTTCCTTTATTATAAATATTAGTTTTATTAGGAATTCTTTCAAT